TGGGTGTTTCGTACGAAGAGAAAGGCTGATGGTGCTATTGAAAGGCATAAAGCTAAACTGGTTGCGAAAGGTTTTAATCAGGTTCCAGGCAAAGACTTCTTTGACACATTTAGTCCAGTGGTAAAGCCTACGACTGTAAGACTCCTTTTATCTCTAGCTTTATCATCTGGGTGGTCTATCAAACAACTAGATGTTCATAATGCTTTTCTGAATGGTAATCTGGCTGAAACAGTTTATATGAAGCAACCCCTGGTTATATTGATGCTAACTTCCCGAATCATGTTTGTTTGTTAAAAAGATCTCTGTATGGGTTAAAGCAAGCTCCCAGAGCCTGGTTTGTTAGTATAAGTTATTATTATTATTATTATTATTATTATTATTATTATTATTATTATTATTATTATTATTATTATTATTTCCTTTGTATGTTTTATATTGTGTGGCTTAGATAGCTTGACTTAGTTTATCTATTTGTTAGGATTAGTTAGAGTTAGATATACTCTGTAATCCTGATGTTACGATCAATTAACGAAAACCTTTTCCAATCTGGTTTAATCAACTACGTACGTTCTTACTATCAGTTGGCTTTCAAGCATCCAAAACAGATGTCTCTCTGTTCTATTACTCTAAAGACTCTGCTTTGGTTTATCTATTGGTGTACGTGGATGACATTCTTGTAATGGGAAGTGATCAGGGTATTATGTCTCAACTCTTGTCCAAACTGTCTGCTACATTCAAAATTAGAGATCTTGGTGAACCAAATTTCTCTCTGGGCATTGAAACAGTTAAGAGTGACAATGCGATTATTTTATCTCAACAACGGTATATGAATGATATTTTAAAACGGGCTGGAATGTCTGAATGAAAACCCCTTTCTACACCTATCTCTATCTCGAAAACTGTCCCCTTCAATTCAGATCTATATGATGATCCCACACAGTACAAGAGTCTAGCTGGAGCACTGCAATATCTCACTGTCACACGACCTAGCCTATCCTTTGCAGTTAATCAGTTATGCCAACATATGCATGCTCCCACCATGTCACACTGGGAGCAGCTCAAACGGGTATTCAGGTATGTTATGGGAACAGTTGATCATGGTTTGCGCATACAACGATGCTCATCTAGAGACATTCATGCCTTCTCTGATTCTGATTGGGCTGGTTGTCCTAAGGATCAAAAATTCACGAGTGGTTTTGCTGTTTTCTTGGGGAGTAATCTTATATCCTGGGTTTGCAAGAAACAGAGAACTGTTGCTAGGTCATCCACTGAGGCTGAATACAAAGCTTTTGCAGATGTTTGTGCTGAAGTTCTATGGATTATGTCATTACTGCGTGAGATACAGATTCTGAGTATTTCCATTCCAAAATTATGGTGTGATAATCTAGGAGCTACATATATGAGTGCCAACCCAATCTTTCATGCGCGCACCAAGCATGTGGAGATTGATTATCATTTTGTTCGTGATCGAGTAGCTTCGGGCGATATTCAAGTCAACTTCATCTCCACAAAGGATCAACTTGCTGATATCTTCACCAAAGCTCTGCCTGGACCTAGATTTTCTTCCCTAAGAGACAAACTACAGGTTACTAGTATAGACTGTGCTTGAGGGAGAGTATTAGGACTCTATGTATCTGAGTCTGTTTAGAACTTCTTATCCTTGTCACACTGTGACTCTCTACTTCTTATCCTTGTCACACTGTGACTCTCTATTGTATATATTCACATCATCTGATCTCATTGTAATTAAGTTCAGAAAATATAATACAATCAGTTCTCATCATTTAGTGTTTAAGTTTGCATAATAAAGTTGATGATAATTATGAAAATGCTACTGTATTTTTTTTTAATTGATTTGATTTACATTATCCAATTTTTTCAATGTAAGGCTAATATTGATTCTTTTGCTATTTTTTTTCTAAATATTTAATTCAGATTTTTTTGAGTAATGGTAAATTATATTATTATACCTCAGACTACAAATACACGGGACATACTCTGATTCAAAAGGAAATTCAAGTTCCATCAAGATAATGGTGGGATACAAAATTAAACGCCTACAATCGGTAAGGGAAATGACTTAAACAACTAGTAGGCCATAAATAAGTGGATGGGTACTATTTTATCAAATAGAGAAATAGAGGTCCATCCAGATGACTACTAATTAACAAAGCATAAAATGTGAGTACTAAGTATAAAAGAAAACTTGAAACCTCCCCTATAAAACAAAAAAGATGGGAAGATAATCATGCTAGTAGCCATCTAGATAGCAATCAATCAATCAGGAATAGCATGAACAAAAAGTCAGCAACAAGAAAGAAACCAAAAAAAAAAAAAAATACCCTACATACTCGGACCAAAATAGGAATAACATGGGGACAATCAAACCAAAAAAAAAAAAAAAAAAAAAAAAAAAAAAGGCAAAATTAAAGCCAAAAAAAAAAAAAAAAAAAAAAAAAAAAAAAAAAAAAAAAAGACCGAACAAAAGAGAGAGAGAGACAGGAACTGCAAAGGGGCAGTCCACACCAAAGGGAAACTAGAAAACAAAGGCAACAATAACAAAAAAGACAACAAGAAAGAGCAACTAAAAGCAAACAAAGGAAAGAAAACCAAAGGACCACCAAGGCAAGAGAAGGTGGATCGCAGAACACAAGAAAGCAATCAAGATAGAAGAGTGCCCCAATAATAAAGAAGAGGGGGAAGGGAGAATGAAGTAGTACAAGACAAACAAGAAGGAAAAGTATAGAAACAAATACATACACGGGCATACCTCAGAAAGAAAAAAAAAAACTATTTTTTTGTTAGAAACACAAACCAAAGTAGAAAGAGAAATCATGAATACAAATACACGCGGCATACCTCAGAAAGAAGGAGCCAGAACAAAAGAGAGAGAGACAATCGAAACTGCAAATAGGGTGATCCGCACCAAAGGAAAATCAGATAAACAATGCAACAAAAAACAAAAACAAGAACAAAACAAAAACAAAACAAAAAAAAAACAAAACAAAACAAAACAAAAAAGCAAAAAATAAAACAAAACAAAAAAGAGCAACCCAAAGGTGGACAAAGGAAAGAAAAACAAAGGGCCACCAAGCAAGAAAATGTGGATAGCACATCACAAGAAAACAACAAAGACAAACAAAAAAAAACCCCAAAAACTAAAGAAAAGGGGGAAGAGTGAACAAATCAGTACAAGACAAACAAGAAGGGAAAGAACAGAAACAAATACATAGGGCATACTCTGAAAAGAAGACAACAATTTTTTTTTTTTTTTGGGACAAAGACCCTCAATGAGAGGGGTACAAGGCAAACATAATTCAATACACTTATTTCTTAATAAGGATAACTAACGTAGGGCCAAGTAAAGGGCTTTCACCATGAATCACGGCATTTTTTAGCCAGAGGTGATAGATAGTACAAAAAAGGCTAATAGAATGATCTTAAAAGGAAACCGAGTGCTATTTCGCAATCTATTGATCCACGAAACTACAGATGCCTATAGTTTTTCTTTCTAGACCGAACTCCGTTTGCACTTTCATCCCAGACCTGCAAAGAAAAGCGACAATGAAAAAAAAAATGAGAAGAAGCCTCCAAGGAAATGTTATAGAGTGAACAAGCTAAGTCATATCAAATATATAATAGAGTAATATCTCTTTCATGGCAAGTCTTCTCTCAAACAAAGCGATCGGCAAAATATCAAACTCAATCATCATGGAGTCATTCTTAACACACTAAGAGGTGGAGCTAAATTTAGCTTGAAATTTGTCCCTAACACTGGCCAAATTCTTAAGCAAAGGGGAATCTGACTTCTTAGAGTTCTACTCCCACATATCCTTGTTGAAAAGACAGTATGTATGTATGTATCTATCTCACTCACGAGGAATCTTTTTTAGAGTGGATGTCCCACAACAACTTGGCAAGAAATGTCAAATTCCAAGTGTGGAAGTCATGAATATTCATACCATCGTCAGAAATTGGAAGGCATATAGTATCCCAAGCAACCATAGCTTGTATATCCCTTCCCCACGCCCCCAACCCCTCCCCCCACATTCCCTACATAGGGAAACAACATGGTCAACCATTGTTCGACCTGTTGGTTACTAATAAATTGAACTTATTTGATTCATTGTAAGTAATTGCTTGGTTTGATACATTTTTTGAAAGTTCAAGGCCTAATTAATTTATCATTTAAAGTTCACGAGCAACTCAATTAGTTCTTGAGTAGTAAATTGTGAGCATGACCACATAATTAAGTTCAAGCACAAGTTCTCTCACCTAATTAATGAACCAAATGAGTTACCGTAATTACCCCTCCACGATTTTACTATTCTATTAATTTCTAGAGATGAGAGAATTTTGTCTTTTGTGGATAAGGACACATAATCTTGTGATAGTCTGGTAGATGTGAATTGCCATAAAAGCTCGGTTATAATATAAATTTGAAAAATACAATTTAAAAAAAAGGTCAACATAGTCAAAGTCAACTCACGATAGTTCAAAAAGAAAATATCGCCGATCAAATCTTCCACTTGTCGGCAATTACAATCTAAGAACTTTCAATACGACGTCGGTTCAGAGGTGATCGATTCTGTCAAGGGGTTCGAGTGATGGCGGCGGCGGCGGCTATTGGCGGCGGAAATGGAGGAGGAGGAGCGCCGGAAGCACCAAAGATCATATGGAACGAGAGATCGCAAAGGTTCGAAACAGAGGACAAGAAAGCGTATTTGGAGTACGAGCTGAAACACGGCGGCACAACCATGGATATCCTCCACACCTACGTTCCGCCCAGCAAGCGCGGCCTCGGCCTCGCCGCTATTCTCTCGGAATCGGCTTTTTCTCACGCCAAGTCTCACTCCCTCTCCGTTATCCCGTCCTGCTCTTATATCTCCGATACTTTTCTTCCTCGGAATCCCTCGTGGAATTCCGTCCTGTACAAACCGGATACCAAATCAAATATCTGAACCGGATTTCTGGTTCTCCATGGAACCGTTAAGGTCCGCCCTCCTAATCTCTCATTATAGATGTCTTTGGATTCAGATTTTTTGAATCTGTAGTTGTGTCATATGATTTTCTGTTTTGTTGATTTTTATTGGAATGAGAATTGGATAAACTGTTTAGTGCTTGATAAACTGCAGAATTTTGTGCTTTTTGAATAGTTATGGAGATAAGAAACTATGCAGGACAAACATTTCTCCTGAGACAAAATCTCAACAGCATATTGCAATGCAAAAACTATGATGATCAATCACATTTTTCATTTCATTTTGTTAGGTTGATGGATATGATTTTGTAAAGCCCTTTTGAGAACCTATGATAAACGAGAATCCTCTTTAGAAACGATTTTCGTTTTCCAAATCAAGAAGGGCAAGACATTTAGTAACAAAGAATCATTTCAAATCATGATAAGCTAAAATTGTTTTGCAGGATGGGAATAAGGGCCTTTGGCCCTGTTTCTCTCTGAACTTCACATACATTGATGGTCCAGTATTCTAGCCCTCTTCATTGGCCACTGTTATGCTTGCCCAACATGCAATTGTTTGAATTCTCCTTCTAAATTTCTTGCTATTAAATATATTAGCTCACTTCAATATGTTCTTTTTCTTGATGATCCATGGACTCATTAATTGGTTGTTGTCATGATTTCCCCAGCTCACCATTATGTAAATCATTTCTTACACAGATTATTCATACACTCCAAGAGCTGTTATTGTTGGTGGCAACTGATTTCTGCTGCAGGAGCATACAAGCTGCCTAAGTTATGATAGAAACCTAGGAGGCACTGGTGAGAGTTAAATTCTCTTGTTTTGTCTTTGAATGGATCTTTTAATAACTGTGTAGCAGATGATGCTTAAGTTTTATGGCAATCAACATGATCATATTGCATAAATCAATAAATGAAGAGATATTCGAATTACTTGCCCATATAAGACGAAATCCCTCGTCCCAAGGGTCTTTATAGGATTCTGTAGGGATAAATGATGGTGATTCAGTGGCCATTTAGGTAGGAGGATCGATATATGCCTGATGCCCACAAGGAGTCACCACAAGAAGGTAAAACTCCTTTATTGTGGCGGCCAGACTCGATCCTGCATTTTTGCCTATAATTTGTCAATCAAGAACCAACTGAGCTACTCGTGAGGGCGAAATATTCCAATTACTGATTCTTACCAGCTAACCCATAATTTGATTTGAATTCTATGCATCACTGTGTGTGTATAAGTTTGGTAAATAAAATCTTGAACAGACACAATTTGACTGCTCACCAGAAATAAAGCATAGCTGTCATGTAGTTCTTCATTCTCATAGTGCAATTTGAAAATACTGCAACCTTATGATTGCTTTAATGACTTTTTTTTCACAATTTAGCCTTCATTCTTGAACTTGTTGACCACGGTTAGTAATGAAGTTTTTCCTCCCACTTTTTTTTTTTTTTTCTTCCTCTTAAATCGCACTCTAACTTCACAACTTACCGGTTGGAAACATAAAAATATAGATTACTAAATTCCATTACATGGATGATTTAAAAAAAAAAAAAAAAAAAAAAAAAAAAAAAAAAAAAGGTCAAAATAGTCATTAAAGTATACACAAAATTATGATTGAGCTATTCAACTTTAATAAATGTAATTGGCTCACTGAAAGTTAAAATTAGGCAATTAAATCAAAATTGACATGTACTTTCTATTGACGTAGAGTTAACCTTGTAAAGAATCGTGAGTATTTTAAAATAAAATTTATTAAAAATAATTTAAAAATGTATTTTAATAATTTAAATAAATAAATTTTAAAAAAACAAAAATAAAAAGGAAAAATCCAATCCCCTCTCGCCTTCATCTTATATCATGGACCAGGATTCACATAACATTATGGACTCTAGATTGAAACAACGAGGTACAAAATTCATACTCGTAAGGTACAGAATTTCACAACGCAAGGCACAAAAAATCACAACACAAGACACATACACATGTTGTATATTTACTTATTTTTCAAATTTGATTTAGATACATAATTTGTATTCATAGACACAAAATTTCACAATACAAGATACGGAAATTCATTACAATTTTTTTTAAATACTCATGATTCTTTACAAGGTAGTATATGTTCTATACTTTCTCAATCTTTTTCAGACCAAAGAATCAATGTCTCACCACTGGGGTTCGATTCTGTGACCACTCATTTAGAATGGTAATAGAGGTGTCATCATACTACATGATAGTTGGCCAAAAATTCATAACATATAAGACACAGTTACTAATTTCTTTCCGATACAGAATTCATACTCTTAAGTTTTAGAATTTCATAACACAAGACACAAAAACTTACAACATAAGACACATACACATGCACTAAGGTCCACAATGCATTGTGAACCCTAGTCCATGATATAAAGATTGCAGGAAGGGGGTTGGTTTTTTCCCTTTTTAAATTTTATTTTATTTAAAATTATTTTTAAAAATGACTTTTTTAATGGGTTAATTGCCCATGTCAACAGAAATCGGGAGTACAAACTGTATTAAAGGTCAATGGTTGCACTTGGTAGGAAATAAAAATATGAGGTGAAATTTCATTAGCAACCCAACCCTGATCAACTAGGGTCGCGGGTCGCTAAGGAGTAAAGGGAAATTTGTTTTGATGTCTGACTGTAAAGAATGTATTGTCATTCTAACGATCTGTATTATAAACATTTCTGCTTATAATTAATGAATTAGCCTTTTATTTTCAAAAAAAAAAAAAAATAGTAACAGTAAAAGTTTGCATGTTTTAGATATCCCCTTTTATCTTACTTTACATGAACATCTATTTATGATCAAAAAAAAAAAAAAAAAAAAAAAAAAAAAAAAAAAAAAAAAACCTTGAAACGTTGTACTAAATATTAATCAAAATGACGGAAAGGTTATATCATATATGACATTATGATCTATTGAGGGGTTTATCTTGACAAAATGTAACATGTCATTGACCTTTGTTATGTGCCAAATACAGTGAGAGAAAGTGGAAAGAATGTTGGCACACAGACAAAAGAGAGTGAGGAAATTAAAAGTTGAAAGCATATGGGGATCCATCCAAGATCTGATCAAATGCATGAAAGGGGGAGGAAACTATCATCATTAGTTATGAGGAAATTAAAGACGGATTTAATTGATAATTGTAAGTGGACCAGAAAGACAGTAGTACAAACATTGTTTGTCTGTCCAGCCTCAGGAAATGCTAACATGATTACATTGTTAACATGCCCTAGCCTAGCTGGCTATCTAGCTATTCTTCATTCTACTTCAAACCGACACAACACACAAATTGACTTGCAAAAAAAGCTAGCTTTTGATGTGGTTTGATCTTGCTAGAGCAATTCTCCAAGCTCCATCATTGTATCAAAGATTAAACATGCATCCATTGCTTGAATGATCTTGCTTGAAATTGCACTCAAAGTCGAAAATATATAACTCATAAGAAGATAAATCTAAGAGCACCCTTAACAGTAATTTTTTGCTCAATTTTTGCAAGGTTGCAGAGAGATCAAGGAAGTACGACAAAGAACGTGAGAGTTATTGCAATAGAGGGGGGTTTTGTGGGCTCTACTAAATTAAAAAATAATAATAAAAAACAAAAAAAAAAAAAAAAAAAAAAAAAAAAAAAAAAAAACAGAGCTAGTTGGTGCACGTCTTGCGCACTAGTAGCGCCAATGTGACCTCCAACTGACTACTTGTTGGACTTACTATGAAACATTGAATCTATATAATCTCTAGCGTTTGATGGTAAATAAATTTTTAAAGCTTTATGTAAGATTAGATTCAAAGACTTACATTATGATAGGAATTTGGTTTTGAGCATGTGGGGGCTAGGTTTGGTTGGAGACCCTATTTGGGTTACGATGTTTATTTCTTTCAACTCGGGGATATTGTGATTTTTGAGTTATTGAGTTGTGCATATACCACTAATTATTTTGGTTTGTAATTATTTACTTTTATTTTGTATTCTCTGTTGTGTTATAATGTTACATTTTTAGTCTTTTTATCCTAACATTTTTCGTATGTTTTTGTTAACTATTCTCTAGACTAGATTGGTTTGACTTAATTACTTAATTGAATATAATTTTGTAAACATCAACCCAGAGACAAACATGAGACATCAACAAACGACTAACGAGAGTAGCGAGAGATGTTAGCCAGATCAGAGTAAAATACTAAAAACTTAATATCAAGTCACTCAAAAATAGGTTTCAACATTACATAATACTATTGGTCCTGTTTGGTAAAACAGTTAGCTTATAAGCCAAATTTAATTTATTTGATCACTATTAGCTGTTTAATTTGGTTAAACAATCAATATGAGTGTTTGATCAATTAGCTTTTAAAAAAATAACTTTTTGTAACAGCTTATTGCTCTAAAATGCTAAAATTCAAAAAGCTACTCAAAACAACTCCGATAAGTTTTTTGATAAAGTCATTTTACATGTAATCAGCTATCAGTTAATTTACTAAACACTTTTCTACAATCAGCTAATGTTATCAACTAGTCAAACACACTAACCTAATCGGTTAACAGGTATCAACTAACAACTATTTACCAAAGAATCACATACTGTATAGACTTGAATTGGATTGGGTTATATGATACAACAGCCCTCTAATTTGGTTGTGATAGTGAGTAGTGATGACTTTCAACGTTGTGTTGTGCTTTAATTATGATCACTTTTATTTAAATGTGAATTGAAGACAAAAGCTGAAATGTCCAAACTTCAACTCCACTATCATTCTAGATGCTGCCCTACATATATACCAACTTAACGTGGTCACAATATCACATTACCTTAATATATATATATATATATATATATATATATATATATATATATATATATATATACTTTTTTAATTGTGACAACGACAATATATAATTTTCCAAAAAAATGTCATTAATTATTATAAATGGTCTTTTTTTTGTTACTTTAATATGTACTTCTCTTTATTTTTAAAATGTTTTTTGGGGATAGTCAAGTACTTTTATTATTGACTGGTTATTATAAAACCACTTCCCTCATTGGTATGAAATTATTTTTAGCGCTTGGTATTCATGTGGTAAATGGTAGGTAATGACACAGGGTCGAAATCTGGTAATCACAATGTGAGAGTTGTACTTAATGTTGTGGGCTCCTTGAGAGTATTCGACAGTGAACATTCAATATAAGAAGTTGTTGCGTTACTGTAATTTATCTCTCCACCGTTCTATCGCGTCAAAGTATCGGACTATGAGAATCCTTGAAACAAGTCAGTGAGGGACCGAGGGATTTTATCTTTAGTGGGCAATGAAACTATGTTTAGGTGGTTGCATTAGTTGCGAGTTACTGTCACCTTTAGAAGGCTTTTTTTTTTTTTTTTTTTTTTTTTTTTTACAAAGTTTTGCGAGTACAAATATTGTTGTGGATGCAAATTTTCATTTTAATCTTCGTACTTGAATCAACTTGAGCCAGTTATCATTGACCAAATTGAGACGTACACACAAAGACGAGAGATAAAATGTAAATCTATATATGTATGTAGCTTATCTAAAAAGGTATGTAATTTACCAACAAAACTTAACGGGTAGCTCAAGTGACAAATGAGTTCTCTTTGTAGGGATGAATTTCGGGATAACCTAAGTTTGATTTCTGTAAGTGACAATTCTCTCTGGGCCAGCTCCTATATCTCTCGGAGCGAGCAGGGATTAAGCGGACAGTGAAAGACCCAAAATACCACATGGTAAACACCCAAAAAAATTTAATTTACCATCAAAACACAAGGAGAGGCCAGGCCAATGGTACATGTGTTGAAACAGTAGCTAACAAGCTCTTCCCACAAATCATCACAAAGCAGGCTTCTTCATACAAAAAGGAATTTCTTCAATATCAAATGCTATTGCAATTTCCTTTTGCCTAGTCTAGACAAATGCCATGATTACCACCTACATTTAAAAAGTCAATTGCCCATCCAAAGGGCTGAAAAAGTGAAAAATACAAATACCAACAAAAAAAAAAAAAAAAAAAAAAAAAAAAAGCAATAAACTATAAACCAAAACGTATCATAAAGGAACAACATAACTCAACCAAGTTAATAAGACTGGTATGTTGGCAATCACAATGCTAGAAATTTGACTTCCAGTGAAATCATTCTATTGATGGTTTTTTTGATTTGAGTCAATCACTTATGGGCAGCCTAAGCTCATTTACCTCATTGTAGTCGAGTTTACTTGATAAACACTCTCGGACAATAATTGCAAGTTTCTATAGTCATTCAAAAAAATTAAAAAATTAAAAAAATAAAAAAACATGTCATAAAGTCTGAAACCTTTGGAGACATAGTCATTGCATGGTTTTAGCCTTTTAGGTTCAAATCTCACTCAACAAAGAAAGAAAAGCTTTGGTGGTTGGGTTCTCCACCCCCTTCAAATCCATTCAACCCATCCACACTTCATCTCATACAAATCAGAGAGTCTATCATCTCAGCTTTTGCAGATTTCTTGGAATTCAATCTATCTGATCTGCAGCTTAGTAACATTGGAGACTGATCGTCTGGAGAATGCATTATCTTCTTCAAAAAGTGTTGGTTTTTGACACTACTGCTGGATTCTTCACTCTACTTCTTCTCCCATCTTTCACTGCCTGCAGCTTATCATCATCAAAAGAATTTCAAGAAAACAGCCAATTAATCAGCATCAAACAACATGTAAACAAGGTATAATTTGTGGGTTTTAGGATTTGGATTTGATTTGAAGTTTTAATTAATTTAATTGCTGAAATTGCAGTGCTTTATATTATTATGTTGTATGTGCAGGTGGATTCTCAGAAGACATTTGATATTGAAGTTCATGGGATTATGTTGTGGGCTTCAATGGGGTTCTTGATGCCTGCTGGAATACTTACTATTAGACTATCTAAGATGGAGGAATGTAACCAAATAAGACTCAAAGTCCTCTTCTATATTCATGCCATTCTACAGGTACCTTTTTTTTTTTTTTTTTTTTTTTTTTTTTTTTTTTTTTTTGTTCATGTTGATTTAATTACACCATATAGTTCACGAGAATCACAATCAGGCTCGAACCACCCTTAACCTGCAAGTTACTGAAGAATTGCCCACAATTACTACGTGATTGCACCAAACCTACTTCCAGACATGTCTAGAGGATCTTTGCAGTGCAATTGTATCCGGTGTGGTGCAATCATATAGTAAGTACAGTGCAATTCTTCAGTAACTCGAAAAATATTTTGAGTTATAACCAGTGTAATAAATCAACAAGGATCCGATTAGCATTTCTCTAAAATTATGCTTGTTGATTAGTCTTTGGGACTTTGATTTTTATTATGCAAAAGTCATTTTAAATATTCTATGAAGCATGAACATGTTCTATTTCTTGAATAATGTAACGTGTCACAAATAAATTGCTTTAGATTTTATATAAATGGCATGATTTTTTAATTTAATTAAATAGTAGTGAATGGGTGAATTTATGGAAAATTAACAATTTGAGGCTTGTAGCATTCTTCCTAAATTCTATATAGAACAAAGGGCAAAGAAGCTTTTTTTTTTTTTTTTTTTTTTTTTTTTTTGTAATGAAATGATGACTTTGAATAATCACATGTAATCATGATGAGCTCAATCTTTTTCTGCATAATTATAGCTTACTATCATAATGACTTGGAGATATAGTATAAAGTTTTGAACTCCTTTATGTGAGACCATCGTTAGGTGGGATATCACAAAAAGAGAAATGCAACTTGGTTAAATTCCTTAACTAAATATTTTATCAAATGATAGTGATGTAATTAAGTATTATAACTTCTTATATTTATTAAACGTAAAATGACTTTTTACATTCTAAAATTATACAAAAATAACATTTTTTTTCTCCATTAGTTTTGCCATTATCATTTTTCATCTATCAATTATTTACAAAGTAGCTTTTATCGTCCTTTAGTTGTCTGTGCAATAGCTTTTTTAATCCAATACTAATTAAACTCGATGATTTAACAAAAAAAAAAACCTTCACAAATAATTAAGGACAAAAAGTGATAACATGTATAATTGAGAAACAAAAGTACTATTTTTCAATAACTTATGGATAAAAGTGCAACCTTCCCTTTATTAAATTAATATTCGTCTACTAGATTTGATTTACGAAAAAATCTGTACTCATTACACAAAAATGCATTCAGAGTAAAATCCGTCTGGTGACTCTAACAGCAAAGGACCATAAAAAGTCAAAATATAATTTAGATTGTCCATAATTAAATTGAGAAGACCAGTATTTTACTAGCTGAATCTATCAGTAATTTATAAAGTCACATAAATGAAAAATAAGAAAAACTAATAATAAATTTTTTATGTTTTTTTTTGTTCTAAATTTTTTTGATTTTTTTTTTCTATTTATTGGATTGGCTGGTTTTGTGTGGAAAAAAAAGGTGGTTTCAGTGCTAGTAGCTACTGCTGGAGCAGTATTATCCATCAAAAGCTTTGACAACACATTCAACAACAATCACCAAAGAATAGGTTTAGCACTTTATGTAGCCATTTATGTGCAACTCGTCATGGGATTTCGTCGCCCTGAGAGGTAACTAATTCACTTCTTTTTTTTTTTCTTCCCACAATTAACTAATACCTAAAGACTATTCGATGGTTGAGGTCAGTCACCGGTCTTAAGTTATGAGTAAAAATTTTATCGTATGTAATTTAATACAAAAAAAAAATGATATTTTAAATCTCTAAAATATACCTCAAATATAGATTTAGTCAATCAATTATTGTCATGTCTAGCTATTTTTGTCTTTAAGTTATTTTCAAAGTGACAGTTTTGATCATTTTCATTAATATTTTGTTATTTTTAGATGAAAAATCAATAAATAGCTGCAAAAGTCGGGATAAACATGAAAATTTGATTTCATCTCTCCCCTCCTTATATTGCACTAGCATTTTCAATGTTCCAATAAGTTTATTTGACAAAGTTTGAGTTCCAACATGGTAAGAGTCTTATATCAGAGCTCACTAAGAAATTAGAAATGTCTGTTTCATATAACAACAACGAGCAAAAATCAAATTTTCATGTTTACTCGTACTATTTAAACTTTTTAATTGATATTTTTTTTATCCAGATCTAACCAAATATTAATTTGGCTAGTTTGGATTCGATTTTTAAATAGCTCAAAATGAAATTAAAGCATCTTAGAAGTGTCGGATTTTAATGTTTGAGGTTTTTAATGTAGGGGAATAAAGGGGAGAAGTGTGTGGTACTTTTTCCATTGGCTATTTGGAACAACATTATGTTTGGCAGGAATTATCAACACCTACACAGGGTTGAAAGCCTACCATGAGAAGACATCAAAGAGTATAAGCCTTTGGACCATAATTTTCACAGCACAATTATCTTTCATGGGATTTTTCTATCTTTTCCAAGACAAATGGGAGTACATACAAAAGCAAGGTGTAGTGGTGGTTATTGGCAATGAAGCCAACACTACACCAACTCAAGTCATTGTTGTTCCTCACAGTGATAGTAGAGGGAAGGAACTTGTCCTGGCTGAGCCATGTAGGAAGAGCAATGCACTTGGGACTTACTTTTCTAGAAGCACAGCTCTCAAGAAACTGTTTCAGCAAACATGATCATGATGAGAACTGTTGTGTTTACTGGTATCTGCGTTTCACAGGACAAGACTAATTCAGTCGAGTCTTGGTCAAGTCGTATTCAATTCATGGCAAACATGATCAAGAAATTGTTTCACCAAACGTGACCATGAGTTGTTGTGTTTACTGGTATCCGCACTTTACGAGACGAGACTGATTCAGTTGAGTATTGGTTAAGCTCTATTCGAGTCAAGGTGTTGTTGTTATTTGTGCTCTATGATGTGTTTTGGTGGGTTTTTTGAAGGCCAGCATTGAAGTGGATGCATCAAATGTGAACTTGTGAAGTGGAACATGATTGGATTATGGAAATATCTTAATCCAATTTGGGGTTTTTTTTTTTTTTTTTTTTTTTTTTTTTTGGGATTAAATTTGATAAATTATATTAACAAATTGTTGATATTGGGACTTAAAATAAGCATGTGTCGTTTGAGGCATGCACTTCAATGTTGGCCTATGACATAGGACACAGGTGATGTTTGTATTATTGTACATAGGTGTTTGCATATGCTTTTGATTATAATAGAACAAGAAATAATACAATTTGCATATTCGTTTCTTTACATATATCCTAGTGGAATGGCCCGTAGCAGATTAGTATTGTCGAGCCAATGGGAGGCGTAGATTCGACCTCTAACATTTAGAGAAAAATTATATATCTTATCATTTAGTATTTATAAATTTCACTATATGTATACAAGGAATCTATACATATAATATAATATAAATAAATAAATAAATATATATATATATATATATATATATATATATATATATATATAAAGGATGGGATAGGGGAGTAGAGGCAACTGCCTCCACTGCTCTCAAAATGAATCTGCTAGTGGATGTTGGATGTTTATAGTGATAGGATGAGACTAAATAAATATTATTTATACAAGAGGTGAACAACTATTTGACTAATCTAGTGACCTGTTTGGCTAATCTAGTTGATTTTTTATAAGCCTATATGGGTTAGCGGCTCCTAGTGATGTCTATTTCTTAGGTCTGTTTTTGTTGGAACTTGAAAATAGTTTTTGTTGACTGTAAAGGTCAACATATACGGACTTTCCACACTAATTGCTGAAGTAGCTTGGTGGAGAGAACTTTATATCTTAAGTAGGAGGTTTATAACACAAAATACATTCTCTAAAATCACTGTTTTATACTTATAAAGTACAACTAATTTCATCAAGGCATATTAGTAACCACTCAATGCAATAAACAAAAATTGGTGGGTGAAAATTTAAATAAAAGAAAAATATGGGGGTAAGGATTAAGGAAGAGATGTTGTGATAATAAAACATGAACCCCCATTCTTTGGAGTATTACACTTCAGCCCCATCCCAAAGAGATCTTATCCTTCAGTAATCAGTATAGATACTGTTTATTCTCAATTTCTGATACTCTTCAGATTCACACACCAACTCAAATGGCTTCTCAAGATCATCATCATCATCATGACCATGACCATCATCATCATCATCATAGCCATGGGTACAATTTTTCTTCTCTGCAATTAAAGTTCACATTTTTAACTTTATTTTATGGTTTCTTGAATTGCTTGGTTGCTTCACTTGCTGTAGGGATTCATGGGTTGGGGCAGATGGGAAGGTGTACCATAGCCATGATGGACTGGCACCTCATTCCCATGAACCCATTTACTCCCCTGGCTTCTTCAGCAGAAGAGCACCCCCTCTAATCAACAGGGATTTTAAAGAAAGAGCCTTCACTGTAGGGATTGGTGGCCCTGTTGGAACTGGGTATTCTCTATTTCCCCTCAATTTCAACTCTTTTGCTCTTTATTTGTTAATTTATTCTTGAAATGGGTCCTATTATACCCTATCTATTCCCTTTTTTAAGTTATTTATGTGGATAATTATGGGTGCACTATGCTTCTAGTGGCTTGGCTTGTTTAAATTAATTGGAAATTTTCAATAAAGTTCAGTTCTTTTGTTTGAATGAGATTATGTAGTTAATTTTTCTGCAATCTCAGTAACTGGTTTCTGGATTGGGTTACTTTAGCATAGATTTTCAACTCTTCTTGAGTGTTAGGCAGGAAAAAAAGAGGGATTCTTTCAGAATCTGGTCACAGTTTGAAAGTTTAGAGGCTTTGGGGGTGTTTGGTAAATGATTGTTTGATAGCTGTTAGCTGATTGGGTTAGTGGGTTTGACTAGTTGATAGCATTAGCTGATTGTAGAAAAGTGTTTGGTAAATTAGTTGTTAGCTTATAGTTGATTACATACAAAATGACTTTCTCAAAAAGGTAATCGAAAAAGCTACTTTGCGCAGCTTTTTGAATTTTAGCATTTTGGAACAATAAGTTGTTACAAAAAGCTAACTAATCAAACACTTATATTGATTGTTTAACTAAGTCAAACAGCTAATATTGGTCAAATAAGCCAAAATTGGCTGATAGGCTAACTATTTTACCAAACAGGGCCAACTTGATTAATTTGATTGTGTTAATTATCTGCATTTTCTTTTGGTATTGTGCTTGATTTTTGTTCGGGTTTCAGGAAAACGGCTTTGATGCTGGCATTGTGCAAATCATTGAGGGACAGATACAGTCTAGCGGCAGTATGTATTCTACTTGACGTTTTAGATTTTCTGCGAGTTTGATGATCCTAGAGTTCCTAGCCCGTCTAGTCTAGTATAATAAAGGTTAAACGAACTAAAAAATGTTTGATTTTAGGTGACGAATGATATATTCACGAAGGAGGATGGAGAGTTCTTGATAAAACACGGAGCACTTCCCGAGGAAAGGATTCGTGCGGTGGAAACAGGAGGCTGCCCACACGCAGCAATTCGGGAAGATATTAGCATTAATCTCGGGCCTCTAGAAGAGCTTTCGAACTTGTTTAAAGCCGATATCCTGCTGTGTGAATCCGGTGGAGGTAATTTGCACTTTGCAGTATATACATACGTTTTTGTATAGCACGTAAATGCTACTACTAACTTGGTTCGTTTTTTATTACACTCGAGGCGTTATTGTGATTATACTATTATGTTTGGCTGCAGATAATCTAGCTGCAAATTTCAGCAGGGAGCTGGCCGACTATATCATCTACATAATCGATGTATCTGCTGGTGATAAAATCCCGCGGAAAGGTGGTCCGGGCATTACCCAAGCTGACCTCCTCGTATGTGGTTTGCTCGACTCTTATCCGTTTAGCTTTTAGTCGATCCTCGAGCTGATTCGAGCCCGCTATACATATACTGCTAATTTGGTCGTTCTTGAATCACCGTGAATTGTAGGTTATAAACAAGACTGATCTAGCACCAGCTGTGGGAGCTGATCTGTCTGTTATGGAGCGGGATGCACTTCGCATGAGGGATGGTGGCCCGTTTGTTTTTGCTCAGGTTTGTTTTGTATCTATATGTTTTTTTGTATGTAGTGTTGTTTAGTTTTACTTTGATTGCCCGGGATTTCCATTCTAAAGTTTCCATATGCGATTAGAACCTCGCTATGAGCAAATGAATCCATACTATTGTTAATGTAGGATAGAATCGGTAGAATTGGCACAATATGAACATTGTGGATTTAACAGATGCAGAGGTTACCATGAATCATAAAACAACCTTAATGAAATGAATTGAAAGTTTGAAACTGCCTGTCAAGATGAATGGAACTTGTCTTCCAAATGACTATTAAGAGCAAATAGCAATTTTAGTGCGAAGAGTATTAGCAAAATGACAGTTTTGGTTTACATGTTTAGTTCCTACCAATTTTCATTCATGACTATTGTTTTAGTACCAATTTTTCATCACACCAGTCACCCCTTCCGTTTAAGATATACCAAAATATGAAATTATTAAGAGTATTTTCGTCATTTTCAAATTAAGATTCCAATTTGAGCATGAATAAAGGTATTTAAGCCTTAAGATCGATCCTAATTCACATTTCTCCTCCTCAAATTAAGGTAGGATGAGGAGGAAAACTGCGAATTGGGATCGATCTTATGGCTTAAATCTCATTATTCATGCTCAAATTGGGATCTTAAGTTGAAAAAGACGAAAATACCCTTAAAATGTTATATTTCGACATGTTTTAAACAAATGAGTGACCGACGTGATGAATTTTGGTACTAAAACAATAGTCGTGGATAAAAATTGGTACTAAAACAATAGTCATGGATGAAAATTGGTAAGAATTAAATGTGGACCAAAATTGGCATTTTGCTAATACTCGTGAGACCAAAATTGGTATTTGCTCTGACTATTAACAATACTCAACGTGTAATCTACATGTTGGGCGAAGGCCGGTGAAGGGCCTAGTCCTCCACCAAGGATTGTTGGGCAGAAGCCTAAAACCTTCAGAGTAAAGGGCCAAATTTAACACACAGCCTCTCGAAAATGTAGCGGTGATATAAAGAAATAAAGTTGTGCATTTGCTACGAGCTATAGCTTCTGACATAGTGGTAAACGTTTGATCCTAACGCTACACGTATCATTCAAATGCAGGTGAAACATGGTGTCGGGGTCGAGGAAATAGCGAACCACGTCTTACAGGCTTGGGAAGTAGCAACGGGGAATAAGCGGCACTGAGTTCTTTCAATGGAGAGGGTGAGAGCTGCATCTGTGAACTCTCTTTTTATCGAATGATAAACGATTTCGCCTAATTCCCAGCAATTAAAAGCTCCTCTCCTTGAATAAACTAGATCCTGCATTGTTATTTACCACTCTATTGCTGTGTTTTCTCCTTATGAATGTTCTGTTGTTCTTGGAAAAATTAAAATTAAGGGGTGTAGTTAGCCATATTTGATCCTTGGACTTTTCATAACAAAATTCTACTAATTATCAATTGAACTATCTCAGCTTTTTATAATTTTTATAATATAAATAATGTAATATTTATCAAAGACTAACAAAGTAAAAATAATGGTTTTATAAAAAAAAAAAAAAAAAAAGTAAAAATAATGGCCAACAAAAACACCATTGCAATATGCTTATAGCTCATAATTGTTTATTTCTCTATTCTCTTATATCTAGTTTATTGTGTCCCTTTGGCCACTCTTGTTGCTTCTCTCTCTCTATGTGTGTGATAGTTTCAAATAAGCTAACCAAATCCCCAACCTTGCAATTTTTGGAATTTATAAAGTGGCAACACTAAGGGTGTGTTTGAAAATTTGAAAAAATGATTTTGTTTCGAGTTTCCCGGCAAGGCTTGAAAAAGTAAAGTCATAGAAAATCAATTCCGGTCAAAGGGGAAAATCACCTTGTTTTTCTGGAAATAACTTGCCCTTTTTTTTTATGGGACTTGGGAAGTCATTTTTCAGGCCTCTTCTCTTCGTCTTCCGGACATTTTGTATCAGCCATCTTCCCTAACCTATCTCCTAGGCAACCAATTGGTCACCTTCCGCCGAAGAAGGCGACCAACTGGTCGCATTCTATTTCTGGTGGAAGGCGACCGACGACGGTTTCTTCAGAGTTGACTGGATAAAGTTTAGGGTATTTGACCTTTTTTTTTTGTCCATTTTTTGAAAAATGAACCAAACACACCAAGACAGTTTTTTGTAATGCAACCAAACACTAGAAATTAAAATGTTTTATGGAGAATAACTCATTTTCAGAGGTCATTTTCCTAGTTTTCAAGCACACCCTAAACAAAATTTCTTATCATCTTTTTATTTTTTAAAGAGTAAAATGCAAAGTTGTGATGTTATATATTATACAAAACACAAAGTGTAGTATGATTCAAAATTGATAAGATAAGAAATTATTAGGATTTGATTTGATTTTTTTTGTTGACATGGAAATCCCACCCCCATTATCCAAGGGCGTGCATTGCGTAAACTCCTGACAGGATAATAGGGCTGGCACCCGACCCGGATCACAAATGGGCATTGACTCAGCATCACATGGGAACCCAACGGGCAGAACTCCAACGGTTAGGAATTCCAACAGGTGTCACCTTTATTGTCTTTGAAGCCACCATTGATGCCACCTTTGATGAGAGAGAGTTAAAGCCTCAACGCCTCATTCATGACTCTTCATATTCTTGCCGTTAGCTCAGCTCCCCAATGATGACTCTTCATGTTGTTACCGTTAGGACCTAGCATAAATAGAACTTCCCTCAGCTGAGCAGGGGACACACTGTACTTTCTATACTGAGACAAGAAGCAATACAACTATTGTTACATCTATTGTTACCTTGTCACATCATTTGTTATTCTAATATTATTACCGGTAACGTTTTTACCGTCAACTCCGTTCTGATATAATAGCCAGCAAATAAAAGATAAACTGCACTAAGAAGACCATATACTATAGGCTTGAAGGCGTTAGCAAAAATAAAAATTATGACTTTCTAATACTAGAATCATTTACCATCTATTCGATTACCATACGCCTTCCGAGACAAATAAAATAAATTGGGAAAGAAGTGGTGTAGATGCACCAGTGTGGTCCAACAAAGTAGAGAAGCATTGAAAGACTGAGAGTAGAAGCATCACTAGTAGGTGGGTTGATGAGTAGGGTAAGTTTGGCTTGATTTTCTTACCAACCACTCATTACTCATATAAGCTATAGGTAGATAAGAACAAAAATGAAATAAAACAAAAGCAGCTAAGAAATAAAACAAAAGCCATAAAACAAAAAGACACAAATACTCAAATTCAGGATATTAATTACTAGGATAATTATATGTGTACTCCCACTTTATATTCTTTAACTTTTACTCACACACACACACAAAATCTTGATGTACATGTAGCTTAGAGTCCGCAACATCAGGAAGTAAGATATCTTGATGTAGAAGACACTTGTATTAGGAGGACCCGCACAACAGGAAGTAAGATTTGAGAGTACATGTAGCTTAGAGTCCGCAACATCAGGAAGTAAGATTTGAGAGTGCATGCAGCGCACAAGGAATCTGCCCACTTTGGATATAATTCCCACACTACCACCGCCGAGGTTCGAACCTTAGTCTCTTACCCCAAACACTGCCCACTAAACCATTGAGTTAAGCCCATGCAGGTGGTTGTTACCGTCCCTATCAGTACTGATTAACGCTTTAAAAATTATTTATTTATTAATTATTAATTGTATGATGGTGATTACTTTTTAGTACTATCTTGAGTACATTTTACATTAAATTGTTGTTCCCAAACTAGACTGGACTAGTGGAGTGGACTCAACATTTATAGAATGACTTCCCCAACCAGAGTACATTATTTATAGAATGGTTTCTTCTTTTTTGCTACTCCATAATTATTTAATCAACATTTATATAATGACTTCACCAACCAGAGTACATTTTGAGTACATTATTTATTTATAGAATGGTTTCTTCTTTTTTACTAATTAATTTGGATAAGTTCTCAAGAAGATTCAAGAGGGCAACCCTAATCAAGTTGGTTGCAGGTTCGAAAATAAAGCTAACTTCAATGTTATTAAATAGAGACAGGCGGACACTCTGACAGCGTACATAAATTCATTGCGTATAATTGCAGTTAGGCTGGGATTATCCCAGCAACTTTAAGCTTTGCAAGATGACATGGAAGCACAATATTATTTTCTTTTATTTGTTACTGTCATCTGTCTAGCAAACTTGCAGAATTAGCAAGTTTGCTAAACAGCTTGCTAGGCAGCTTTTTGCTGCCAACGGCAGCTTTATTTGACTTTTTTGTTTTGTTCTATTTTTTTAATCTCTTTTATTATTATATTATTATTATATTATTATTATATTTATAATATAATATGAAAGTGGGACCACTTCAGAAAGTGAGAGAATATTGCAGGAATATAGTGTGAATAGTAGATGATTTGCAAATAAGATGATGTGGAAGTGGGACCCATTTTTTAGAGTGGGAGATGTTTGCAGGGATAAGGACATCCTTAGTGTGATTATATATAATAAAGTATAACAATCATTATTATTATTATTATTATTATTATTATTATTATTATTGTTATTATTATTATTATTTGAAACCATTATAACAAATTATTATTTCCTTGCTCTTCTCATATTTTTTTTTTTTTGGAATAAAGTACAAATAAGCCACTGAACTATTTGAGAAACATCAATTAAGCCATCAAACTCAAATAACTCCTAAATAAGCCATTGAACCCCAAAAAAAAGAGCAATCAACATTTTTAACAGGTTAACTTCAGGTTTTTACTAACTCGATTGTCAAATGTTTATTTTATTTACATTTTTTTTATTATTATAATCCACCACATACTAATATGTTTTAAAATAATTATAATCAAAATATGTTTATCTTGTTTAGATCTAATTTATTTATTTATTATTATTTTTTTAAACAAAAGATCCAATGAAAAAAACAATAAATAAAAAATAAATCAAATCTCGACAAGACAACTATTCTGATTAAAATTACTTTTAAATTTAATACTATCCAAGTAGGTAATATTAATATTAATAATAATAAAAAGAAACGTAAATAAAATAATCATTTGGCAATCCAGTCAGCAAAAATCTGGAGTTAACCTGTTAAAAATGTTAATTGTTCTTTTTTCCGGGTTCAATGGCTTATTTACTCTTTTTTCCGTGTTCAGTAGCTTATTTGAGGGTTATTTGAGTTTGATGGCTTAATTGATGTTTCTCAAATAATTCAGTAACTTATTTGTACTTTTTTCCTTTTTTTTTTTTTAAAGCGTCTCAATTGTAACCTTATTTTATGTACTTTAAAATGGTTAATAATTCCGAAAAATGTAGTTAGTAAAACATAAGTTTTGTATCAAAAGGTTATGAATTTATTCTTTTTTTTTTTTTTCGAGTCCTTATTAAAGGCGGGATTCTAGTACCCCATGTATATTTTATTTTTAAGTAATATCTCCAAGCAAAAAAAAAAAAAAAAAAAAAAAAAATCTCCAAGCAACAATTCTAATCAAGTAAAAGTAATGTTTATTTTCTTTAAACAAATTTCCAAATTATATCATGTATACACAACTCCATCTTTGAGAGAGATGCCTCTTCAAATGGGATTACAAAATATTATATACTTTCGTCATATGTTGTAATTTAAATAGTCAATACCCCACCAACGGAGATTCAATCTTATGAGTCTAGTGAGCACAATGTGTTAGATAAAAGTAGATTGAATTAGTTGTATTATGTGGGACCAATGAAGTTTAAATAAATAAATAAATAAAGCTAACCTTCTATAAGTAAAAAACAAATAGTCATCCATGTAAAATTAGTGAGTTTTTTCCCATTTTGGTCCCTTGACTATGACTCATTCTCAATTTTGCATTCCGACTTATAATTGCACCCAATGTGGTCCCTTGACTTTTGAAAACTACCCAAATTTAGTCCTCCGTTACTTTTTCCATCTTTTAGGCGTTAAGTAGGAGGGCATTTTGGTCCTTTCATTCCCACCGCGCCTTCCCCAACTGCCGTTTCCCTCCTAAAATTCACAGATTATGCTCCTTTTATGCAATTAGCGAAAACCTTAAACCCTAGAATCTAAAATTCACAAAATTGACGAAGGAGAAAGAGAAGGAGACTACGACGACTCGCCAAAGGTCTGGATGGGGAACCAGAGGTCTGGGAGTGCTACGTTGCCAATATATGGTACGCAAACTTTTATTTATGGATGCAGTATTACTTTTTGAATTATTCCATGTGTTTTGCAAAGTTTACAGTATTATTCCACCTTTACTTTGTACTTTCAGTAGTGGAAACACTTTCTTACTTTGTGTATATGTGGTTACATTGTCTGAGTGTGAATGTGAGGCGTATATATGGTTTATTAGCGATGGGTTTTGGAGGGGACCATCAGACAGAATATATAGAAATGTGTGTTTGCCTTTTTTGTTGGGTAACTGTATAAATGTTTGCATAATAGGGTGCTGGGGGGACCACTGGAGACCAGTGTTTGGTCTCTGTTTGTAAAATATAGTGTGTGGGGACCATTGTGTTGATTTTTTGTTGTTGTTTATTGAACTGCAAGTCTTATCTATTGTATATGTGTTTTATAATCCATGTTTATAGTTTCTGTGTGTAAAAATATAATTTCTTTTTGTAATCATTCAGATGACATTGATGAAAATAGATTTACACTTAAGCTCAAGCATGGTGGTAAAATATTAATGAGTGAGCCAGTAACATATGTGGGAGGTCATGTTGATTATTTTGACTACATGGATGTTGATGAATGGGGGTTTATGGCTTTACAAGACAAAGTCATAGAGTTAGGCTACACAATGAGTGAATGTAAGGTATACACTGTTGTGGGTGAAGGTTTAATTGAGGTCATTTCAGATAGTGAAGCCTGGGATTTAATTGATTTTAGTGATAAGGAAAGGGAAGTAGAAGTGTGGATCAACATTGGAGGGTTAAATTATGAAGCTGAGACTGATGTTGAAGTGGAATTAGAGTGTGATTATGAAGCTGAAACTGAGGTTGAAGTGGGAGAAGATTCTGATTATGAAGCTCAGGGTGAGGTTGAAGTGGAAGAAGATTCTGATTATGAAGCTCAGGGTGAGGTTGAAGTGGAAGAAGATCCTGACTATGAAGATGATGGTGAAGAAGAATTGCGTAGTCTAGGTGAGAATGATATTCATTTTGAAAAAGCAGTAGATCCCACTGTAGAATACCATGGGATAGGACTAACCACTACTCTGCAAGATGTGAAATCTGAAAATGATAAAATGAATGTCCAAGTGAACTATTCTGATGATGAGACACCTCATGGAAGTGATGAGGAAGTAGAGGATGACATTTGGCCAAAGTTTAGAAGTTGTGACATGGAGAACCCTACTTTCACTGTTGGAATGACATTTTCAGAAAAAAAAAAAAAAGATTTTAAGGATGCCATAGTGAGTTATGCATTCAAAGAAGGGAAAGATATAAAGTTTGAAAAGAATGACAAGGTAAGATGTATTGTGAAGTGCAAGAAAATTGGTTGTCCATGGTCAATAACCCTGAGATGGATTAAGGATGTGAACTGCTGGAGGGTTACTTCATTCAATGACACTCATGATGGCTGCTCTTGGGTGTGGGAGAATTCATCTGTAAGGTCCAACAGACTAGCTAAGAGGTGGAAAAAAGACATAGGCAGTAATTCAAGCTGGAGAGTCAGTGAGTTCAGGGAGAGAGTGGCTACTGATGACCACTTCCATATCACCTCTAAGGTTGCTTATAAGGCAATGACAATGGCTAGAGCTGTTATTAATGGTGAGCTTGAAGATTATTTCAAAACGTTTTGGAGTTATTACTTGGAGATTGAAAGATCAAATCCAAGATCTCGTTCAATTGTGAAGATGAGTGAGACTGTAGAAACAGGAGGAAAATCAAGATTTCTAAGATGGTATATATGTTGGGAGGCTTGTATGAAGGGTTTCCTACATTGCAGAAAGATTATAGGGGTTGATGGTTGCCATTTGAGATCAAAGTATGGTGGTTATTTGTTGACTGCAACTGCCATGGATCCCAATGATGGGATCTTCCCACTTGCCTATGCAATAGTTGAGGGTGAAAACAAGGAATCATGGACTTGGTTCTTAGCACTACTTAAGTTTGATTTGGGAATTGATGAAGCATCTGAATATGGATACACCTTCATTTCAGATAAGCAAGGGGCTGCTGCCTGCTTTTAGCTCAAAACTAGAAAATGTGGTGCATAGGTTCTGTGTAAGACATTTATATGCTAACATGAAGGTTGCTGGTTTTCATGGTAATGCACTATGGTCAGCAGCAAAAGCCACCACAGTAAACTCTTTTAAAGACTCAATGAGGAAGATCAAAGACCTTGATATTGATGCTTTTACTTGGTTGGGAGATAAACATCCATCTGAATGGTCTAGGTCACACTTTAGTGGTTCTGCACTCTGTGATATGTTGGTAAACAATGTAAGTGAGTGCTTCAATGCAATGATAGTTAAGGCTAGGGAAATGCCATTGATAAGCTGCCTTGAGATGCTTAGGACTATACTGATGACAAGATTATTTAAAAATAAAGAAGAGGCATCTGGGTGGACTTTAGTGATTTGTCCTAACATTGTTAAAAAGATTGCAAAGGATGGCGTCCATATGTCTAGAAGTCATGTGGTATTACATTGCACATTCTGTAAACAAAGAGGCCATAATAGTAGGAGATGCCCACTGAAACCTGTAAGTATTACATTACATTCTAGTTTTACTTATAATTTTTTCCATGTATTACATTAACATGTAAGTTGTTACTGTTGTAGAGAAACCCTCAGGCACAAAGAAACCCTCAGCCACAAAGAAACCAGCCACAAAGCAACAGAACAAATCAAGATGCAAGAGCAGAAGTATTACATTACATTCTAGTTTTAGTTATAATTTTTTCCATGTATAACATTTACTTATACTGTTTTATGTTTGTAGAGAAACCCTCAGCCACAAAGAAACCCTCAACCACAAAGAAACCAGCCACAAAGAAACCCTCAACCACAAAGAAACCAGCCACAAAGCAGCAGAACAAATCAAGATGCAAGAACAGATGAGGTTGATGTACCAGCAGCCATGTTTGATGTAAGTTTTAACTTAGTAACATTCCTTTCATACAAACTGCATGTTTTACCTAACATGATTACTTTCATACAAATTCCTATTCAAGATGCAAGCTCATAATTAGTTCAACATGATTACCAAGTAGAGATTGAGGTTGAAGCACATGAAGAGATGCCATTACCTACTGTTCAAGAGCAAGTTGTTACTGTTGTACAAGAGCAAGTTAGTACTGCACCTCCACCTGCCCCTCTCAGAAGGCAAGTTAGTACTGCACCTCCACCTGCCCCTCTCAGAAGGCAAGTTAGTACTGCACCTCCACCTGCCCCTCTCAGAGGGCAAAAGACCCTTGGTTTAACAAAGAAAAAACAAAAACTTGCTCAGCCTGCAGGGAGGAAGTATAAAACAAGGTCTTCGTCTTCTTTGACTACGAAATTCAAGAACACAGCCTCCGAACCAATCGAGATTGATTAAGGCCTTCAAATTATGTGAAAACTGATTGTAGTTGTTTTGGATTGTTCTAATTGTAGTTGTTTTGGATAATGCAAACTCATTGTGGGTAATAGTCCCTTTAGCATTGTCTTTTGGTGGGTGTAATTGTAGTGATTTTGGATAATGCAAACTGCTTGTGGGTAATACTCCCTTTAGCATTGTCTTTTGGTGGGTGTAATTGTAGTGGTTTTGTTTAATGCAAACTGCTTGTGGGTAATACTCCCTTTAGCATTGTAAAGCTTCTGTGTTTTGAATACTCCACCATCAATGAAGTTTATCATTTTGCTAAGTTCCAGTTCCAGTTTACAGTTCCAGTTGCATATTGTTTATAGTTCCAGTTTCATTTTGCTAAGTTCCAGTTCCAGTTCATTTGTTTACAGTTGCATATTGTTTACAGTTCCAGTTTCATTTGCAGTTCCAGTTCCTTTTCATTTGCTAAGTTCCAGTTCATTTGCTAAGTTCCAGTTCCAGTTCACTTGTTTACAGTTGCATATTGCTAAGTTCCAGTTCCAGTTTCATTTGCATTCTAAAAACTAAACACAATTCCAGCAAAGTAAACTTCCATTCATAAACAAGTGCCACAACAAACAAAGTACACATCATGCTATAGGGAGTCTACAACTATTACTCACAGTTTTAACAGCTTTGTGGTACAAGTAAAACATACTAAATGCTACAACAATTACTACAAACGATTTAATCCTAAACCTAAATCCTCCTTTTGCCACAATTACAATTACTTCCACGACCAACAGAGGGCACTGCCATTGCTTTTAACCTCTCAATCTCCTCATCTTTTATATTCATGCTTCTTATTTCTTAATAAGCCGGGAATAATCTTCTTCACACGTGAACGCATGGGAGGATCGAACCATTCCTTGAATCCACATCCGACACCATCCTATCAACAAATTCAAAAATTCTTACAACAAGTAATAATTGAGAAATTTGTAACAAAAAATTGAACCTGAAATGCTCCTTACACAAACCCAAAACCTCCGCCCGGGATTTTCGCTACTCCAAGAGGTTTGAATGCTCCATTCGCTGCCACAATTGCATATACGCGTAGGGATTGCATCGCCGTAGTGGTACCTCTGTCTTGGCAAAGATGATGACGATGAATAAGAAACCTTGGTGTTTTGCCTCCACTGTGTTGACATCGTACGCAAGAGAGGAAGAAGAAATCAAAGTAATCTAGGGTTCTTGGTGTTATTTTTGCTCAGCCGTGAAGAAGAAACGAATATGTAAAGGGGATGGCAGTTGGGGAAGGCGCGGTGGCAATGAAAGGACCAAAATGCCCTCCTACTTAACGCCTAAAAGATGAAAAAAGTAACGGAGGATTAAATTGGGGTAATTTTCAAAAGTCAAAAGACCACATTGGGTGCAATTATAAGTTGGAATGTAAAATTGAAAATGAGCCATAGTCAAGGGACCAAAATGGGAAAAAACTCTAAAATTAGTTAAAGTTTAATAACTATCGAATTTTTGAGATTAAACTATGTTAGATTAATTAATAATTGTTTAGCAGAAGAGTCAAATAATTAAAAATTGTGGCTAATTGAAATTTGCTCCCAATTCGTACTCCCCCAGTCGGCTGAACTCTCGAAGGTCGGCAATGAAGAATTCGCTTGTCCGTATTGGTACAGTAGAAGGTGATTTAGTGAAGCGAGCTTTAGCGGCTTTGATTCGTCCTTCGTCGCATCACCAGAGGCGCAGAGGCGATTTCCAGCCTAGGCCGAGCCGGCTTTCGAGAATGTCGAAAGCAGAGGATGTATGAGATTTATTTGTTTTACAGGTTTGTGGTTTGGATGATACTGTTTGAAGATTGTGTATTTTCGGCAGAAAATACTCCGGCGATGGCGTCAGATTCCGGCTGAGGTTGAAGATGGTGAATCAAAACCCTAGCTATGATGCGATGCAATTTTGGTGTGCGGATGATCGGATTGTGGAGGAATTCGTGATGGAGCAGCCGATTCCGCCCAGGAGTTCGCCGGTACTGAGGAGATTATCCGGGTTGGAGAGATGCTTCTGCTTCTGGCCTGTCCTTCGCGGCCCCACTTCTCACTTCAAGCCAGATCTCCGTCGCTGCGAGTCCCGAAAGCATACAGTAATCTCTAATTTTGTTATGAAGATTTTTGTTAGTGTACTCATCTCTATGCATATAATTTAGAAATTTGAAGAATTTTTTGATCAATCACTGAAGCATGCTTTCTGATTTTCAATTTTTAATTGTTCATATTGTGGGGTAGATTTGTGAGTAACCGAACAAGTGTTTCTCCTGCTGTTGTGATTTGCGAAGATCTGTTTGGTTTGGACAAGGGTTTTCTCGCTGTCAACACGGATTTAGGAAGTAAATTCTACCTCACCACACACTTTTATTATACTAAAATTACATGTCAGCAATGGCAACCCGGGGGGGGGGGGGTTGTTTGTTTTTTATGAGTTTGGTTAGAGTTGGGTTTAAAAAGTGACATGTGAACAATTGATAGACAAAAAAATTTATTTTACAGACAAATTGATAGATGGAAATTATTAACATTATACTTAAGATACGAAAAACTTGTAGGACAATTTTGCCCTCATTGATTTTTCTTATTATTGTTGTTGTTATTGTTGTGTAGGGTATATTGGTCTTTATAATCATTATTCCTTACAATCCTAAACTTAACCCAACAATAGAATCAGTATTTTTCCAATAATTTCTTTTTCACCAACCAAACAAAATGTAATTAATCTTCCGGTAATATTTTTTTTATGAAATTTCAATTTCATTCGTCAAATATTTTCTATGAACCAAACATGTAGTTAATATTGGTGGTAGAAATGAACCTACAATTGTTATACCATGGACTAGGGTCCACTTTGCCCTGGTCCTAAATTGTGTATTTTTAATATTGGAATTGTGAACATCTAGAATATAAAGTTGTGTTTTTATGTTTTAAGAATTTGTGAATACAATACAGGATCATCACAAATTGTGAATTTTTAAAAGGTAAATTGTGAACAATTGTGTATCGTTAAACTCGAATCCACCTTACATTATTGTGTAGACCTGGATCCACACAATAATTTGCCATGAACCCAACCTAGGGCCAGAAGCAAATGGGGGCTGAAATGCATTTTTCCACATGCTTAAATCCTGTTCCTTACCACTGAGAAACTGAGAAGGAGCATTCTGGACTTGTGGGCAGTTGGGCACGACAAACAAAAATATCAACACTAATAAACTCCATGCCTTTTTCTTTTTAAATTATCTGAGGTCACCTTTAACAAAGACTCAGAACAACCCTCTATCTTATTATATAGTCTTCATTCAATCCGATTCAAGAAAGGGGGATTCTTGTGTCTCACCAAAATTCCACTGGAAATGTCTGCCCAGAGCTGGGGTTGCAGTCTTCTCTTTGTGCTTCTCCTCGCCACCAGTATTGATGGTGGGAAAGGGTCTTCTTCTGTGGATCAGCAAAAACTGGACGCAGTCTTGGATTTGCCAGGGCTTGGCTTCAATGTCAGCTTTGCACAGTATTCTGGGTATGTGACTGTGAACCAGGAGTCTGGGAGAGCACTTTTTTATTGGTTCTTTGAGGCTGTGGTGGACCCTTCTTCTAAGCCTCTTGTTCTTTGGCTCAATGGAGGTACTGTACACCTTTCTGTTTTCCCTCTCATTGCTAGGATGTTTTTGCCTTCTGTTGATAAGAAAGGCTGGACCTTTTTGTTATCTTGAAGATGATTTCTTTTTTGGATTGATTACAAAAAAGTTAAACTTTTGTGTTGTGTTTCAGATATCCACAAGTATATAGTTAAAGTCATTTTTATGAATCTTGAATCTTACCCCAGTACATGTGTGGTTTAATTTTGTGAATGGTAAATGCAGATTTCACTGACATTTTGGTGGTCTTGCAGGGCCTGGATGTTCATCAATTGCTTATGGATTGGCTGAGGAACTTGGACCTTTTCATGTTGAGAAAGATGGGAAGACCCTATACTGGAATCCTTACTCTTGGAATTTAGGTATATAGTTATCCAAACCAGGGTTATCAAGGCGTCGCCTAGGCGCCGCCTAGGCGTCTGGGCGGTCACGGCCTTGCGCCTAGTTCGCTCGCCTCGCCTAAGTGCAAAATACAACTCAAAACCCCACAAAACATACATGGGCAGAACCTACACACTAAGGCGAGTTGACCGGTGTAATTTTCAGCCGGAGAAGACGCCGGAATCTGCCTCACGCGTGGCGTCGGAGCAGCGGCGCGGCGGCGGCGCGTGGAGGGGCGTGGAGGCTCCGATGGCGGCGCGATTCGAGCTCCGGAGTTGTCCTCCTGTTCCGAGCAAAGCCCACTACCTCACCCTGACATGTTATCAATAAATACTAGACTTCTCACTACTCTAGGAAAAACTATTCATCTTCTCAAAGATGACTTGAAGTAAATAGGGTTCAAAAAGGCTTCCCAAGACAAGATATTTTCAATATACAATAAATACTAAACTTCTCATTATTCTAGGAAAAACTTTTCATCTACTAAAGGCAACTTGAAGTAAATAGGTTGCCCAAGACAAGATATTTTCAATATATATGTATATATTTTATATATTTTATTTATTTAATACTCATCGCCTAGTCATCGCCTAGGCGGTCGCCTAGTCGACTAGGCAAGTTGGTGGCATCTCGCCTAGAAAGTTCGCCTTGATAACCTTGATCCAAACCCCCCCTCCCCCTTTTTATCACATTAGAACTACAATCTAGAGTGCAGGAACTCAAAACTAATTTTTGTGAATTTAGTTGTATTTGTTGCTGAGAAATGTAATAATTGAGAAGCATATGATGATGGTGATTGTTTTGGTGATCTGTAAGGAGAATTGCCCAATTTTTTCTGTTTTAAATTCTTGTTCTGCAGCTGCAAATCTATTGTTTGTTGAATCTCCCGTGGGAGTTGGTTATTCGTATTCGAATACTTCCTCTGATATTCTTACTAATGGCGATAAAAGGACAGGTAGCACTTTAAACCTTATCTTTTCCAGGCTATATTTTCTGCTTTTGTTTGCAAGAATGCAGTGATAACCGATTAACCGTCAACTTTTTTGCGTTACAGCTGAGGATTCGCTAGAGTTTTTACTAAAATGGTTTGAAAGATTCCCACAATATAAAGGGAGGGAGTTTTATATCACAGGAGAGAGCTATGCCGGTGAGTTACTTGTAATCTCGTTATTGAATGCTAAAGTATTGTGTGAAATTAATGCATGAAAGCCACAAACTCCCCATTTCCCGTGCAAGGTTTTGGTATAGCCCTCCTGGGTCTAGGAATAGCTAGCTTCTTGTAAAAGCCTTGTTCTTTTAAGAGCTTCGAGTATTTTCCATGTTCATCTAAAGCTTGGACGAACAAAGATACTTTTCCCTACTCTAATGGCTCAATTAGGTAAGTTACTATGATTGTCAGTTGCTTTTTGTTTCAGGGCATTATGTTCCTCAGCTAAGTCAGGCCGTTGTGAAGCACAATGCTAATGTAAAAGACATTGTGATCAACTTAAAGGGCTTCATGGTATGGTACTCTCCCTGGCAAACGAAAAAATAAAAAAGAAAAACCCAAGAATGAAATAGGAAGAGAAAAGACTCACCGATGAAGTTTTGATTGTTTTCATGAATAAATAAACGTTGCCTGCTTGTTACAGGTGGGAAATGGTTTGACTGATGACTACCATGACCACTTGGGTCTTTTTCAGTTTATGTGGGCATCTGGTTTGATTTCTGATCAAACGTTTAAGCAGGCGAATCTTTTGTGTGACTACCAATCGTTTGTCCACCCCTCGGAGGAGTGCAATAACGTTTTAGATACTGTTAGTGACGAGCTAGGATATATCGATCCCTACAGCATCTTCACCCCGACATGTACAGAAGGTTTTAGTATAATGAGCAGGGTGTTAAAAAGATGTGATGTAAGTCCAGATGACCACGTTTATGGTTTATCTTTTATAACTACATTACGTACTCGTACCTGGTTACTCACAATAGGGATATTCGTTTCGGATTTATACTGTTTCCTTGCCAAAGATCTCGTAGAAATCTCGTTTTATTAGGTTGATGCTTACCTGTTGACATATCTCTGTTTGATTCTTTCTTCGATGGAGTTATATTATTTTGACAGAAGAAGGTTGGTCTTCTGAGGAGAATCTACGATCCCTGCACAGAGAGCCACTCAACTATCTACTTCAATCTTCCCGAAGTTCAGAAGGCTCTTCATGTTCATACCACTAATTCCTCGTTTAAATGGGCAACCTGCAGGTACTTTTATCTGCAAATAAGATTTTGAATTTTTGAAAGAGTCTTATTGTTTGAATTCCACTTGAAAGAGTATCTTATTGTTCGAATTCCACTTGAGCATACTCTATGTATTAAATACGGGGCCATATTTCATATCATGAAAAAAGTATATGCTAAACAAAATCATTAAGCAATAAGCAAGTTATAAATGAAAGTATACCATATGACATATCATTGTTGTCACTGCCACTTGAGCTTTGGTAACACATTTATGCACTTACTGGAGTCTGTTCTATGGAACATTGCTTCTGAGGCATTGATGGCTGTTGATATATGTTACGAGTCCTACATTGAAAAAAAAAAAAGAGAGCGACATATGGGTTTATAAGGCCATGGTTAGACTAACTAATTTATTGGATTTAGTCTTTTAGTGTGGTTTAGCCCATGTGCATTATAGACCAGTTGAGTGACCTTGGCCAATATTGGATTATAACATGGTATCGGTCCACTTTGTGTTCACCCGGTTGTCTATCTGTGGTATTGGTGGCGTCCAAGCTTTTATTTGATACTGTTGTTGAATCAAACCGACTGATGAAGACTGCCTAATTGTTTACATTTGCATTGCCAGATGTGAATTTGTACTTAACCTAGAATTTGTGTAAAGTTAAAAATTGACCTTTTGTTCAGAAGTTTCTCCCTACTTAATATCCCTGAATATTTTAGTTTTACTACCTTTTTGCAGCGATGAGGTAAATGAGTTTTGGAAGGATTCTCCTACAACTGTGTTGGACGTCTATCAAGAACTTATAAGTGCAGGGCTTCGCATTTGGGTATTCAGGTTTTCCTCTAAAACCCGACTCATCTCTGATGCTCTCCCAAAACGTATCCTAGTAAGCTTCCTGTCTAATTCCCGACACATCTTAAAGTGTTACTTTCATTAAGGGCAAAACTGCATTTAGAACTTGATGAAGTTAAAACGAGTATGGTAACACATCACGAGTTGCAGGAGAAGACTAAATTGTCTTTTGTTTATACTAGTTTCTTGACATTCCTTAAAACTGTGTGACTTGAGTACTGAAGCGCTTTTTACGACTATTTTATGATGATCTTTTCGTTTTTCGATAACAGTGGTGATACAGACGCTGTATTCCCTGTCACATCGACACGGTACTGCATAGACGCTCTCAAACTTCCCACTGTTAGCCTATGGCGCCCTTGGTATGATAATGGACAGGTATTCTAAGTTTCTAACAATCCATTTTAACTAGTATTTGTTTTATTCTGCAATCATAAGCATTAGGTATCATTTCTTTACTGTTAAGAGTCCCAGATTAAAAAATAAGAGAGAACATATGAGTTTATAAGGCTATGGATTAGACTAACTAATTGATTGTATTTAGAAGTTCAGAACCTGTTCGGTTTACTTTGTGTTTCCATTGATTCATTCATTAAAGACTTGCAACAATTGATACATGAAATAGGTTGGGGGATGGACACAAGAATACGAAGGCCTGACGTTTGTTGTTGTACGAGGAGCAGGCCACGAAGTCCCTCTGCACAGGCCCAAACTAGCTCTCACACTCGTCGAGTCTTTCCTGGCCGGAACTTCAATGCCCGGCCTGCAACGAATCAGTGACTGGTGATTGTTTAGCCCCCACGCGGAAAAACAGTAATAAAATGTTTAGCAGTTGCTCTGATATGATGTATGATCAATGATGTAGCTGCAGAAAGTTGGTTTTAGATTGTTGTTGACATACCCTTTTGGATGATAATTTGCTTTAATGCTTTAATCAAATTCAATGGAGGGCTCAAGGTTCTGCAGTAAATACCAGAAAATGAGAAAACAATGCAAAATTGACTTATTGTAGGATGCCTGCCATCAGAGAGCATTTTCAAGACTGCTTTCAATACAGGAAGAAACACCTTAGACTGATCCTCCAACCTAATGGGTTGCTAATTATCATAATTTATCCTTCCACAATTTTGTTGGGGCAAAGTGTGGGAGTATTTAGACAATGGATTTTGCCTTTTGTGGACAAGAATTATTGGGATCAATGACTAGAATGTGTAGAATGGGGT